GATATCTAACTTTTCAAAATTTTACAATTTGGATTTATATTGCAAAAATTCCAAGTATAGTAGATTACCCTGAGTGTAGTCTCTCCCTTTGTCATAGTGTGTGTTCGCTACGTGTGTTGTGTGCTGCCTGTATGTATGCACTGTGTGCATGTGTGCTGCTTGTATGTATGTAATGTGTATATGTTTGCTGCCTGTATGTATGTATAGTGTGTGTGTGTGCTGTCTGTATATATGTAATGTGTATGTGTTTGCTGCCTGTAACAGGGGTGTGTGTGTGACGGACCGCCTGGCACCCCGACTGGGTGCCTCCGCCAATCGATGCTCCTAGTGCTCGCTGAGGACTCCAAGCACTCCACTAGACACCATCAGCACCGTAGACCCCACAAACCGCCGCAGCTTGGTTGGGGACTCGCCGTCCTCCACCCACCCTGGACACAAGACCTGGATCCAGCTTCCAGTGGGTGAACCTCTCCTACTCCAGAGAGTATATCAGCAAAAGCTCTTATAAGAGATAGTGATTAGAACCCAGGGTAGTATAAGGAGTATAGCAATCCCCAGAGTGAATATAGCTGTCCCCTCCACACATGAGATGAGGCTTTATGTTGAGGGTGAAGAGTAACAGATTTTAATGGTGCCACACTTGGCCTTATATGACAATCCCCATGCAAGGGGTACGCCCACAGGACCTGATGGTGGACTGATTTACAACGTCACAGACCAATAACAATAAGGTTACAAGGCACGACACTCCCACAAACAGCACAGAATCTCTCCCCTCTGCCTGGGAGATAATTGAGTCAAATACTGTAGTAACTCAATTATCTCCAGGCATAAAAAAACACATATTTCTATAAAACCCCAAAAGTACCCCAAAACACATAAGATCCCCACAAATGTTACATCCTCTGATCTCAGTGACCAACATATCCAAAAATCACCCAGATCAGTTCAGGGGTTCAGGAATTTCCTGGAAGTCATTTATTTGACCGACCACAAGCATGGTCCCATGCCCAAACAGGGCAAGAGAATCAGGGCTTGCGGTTGGTCTAGTTCGATAGTTTGAAAATGAACAAACTACTGAACAGAGTCAATAGTCTTACCCCAGAGCTTGTTCCCTTCATCCAGACGTATTATCCTATCGAACAGTGCCCTTCTAACTTGTATAGAATGCAGGCGATGATGGAAGTCCAGGGGTGTTCGGGAGTTTCTGTGTCCGATGGCCACCACCTTGTGGTTGTCCATAAGAATTGCGGCCACCCAGACGAACAATTAGAACACTGCAGTGAGAAACGTTCCAAGTTGTAAATAGGTGTTAACAAGCTCCAGGCTAGTCTCTGGTTCGTGTGGTTGTTCGGGAATTTGAAGTGCCGCTTCGAAACGTTTTGGGAGTTCGAAGTGTAGCCATAAAAAGTAAAATAAAGGCACAAACAGTATCTTTAACCAAAGTCTATAGTCCCAGGGCAGGAGGCTGGCAAACAGGCTCCTCCAAAAGGCAGTGGCGAGGTTACTTTCGCCACAGTGTGGAAATAAAAAAATTAAAAAACTACTGCCTAATCTACTTGTCTGCAATGACAATCTACTTGTCCTAATACAAAAAATAAATTGAATCAACACTGTATTTAAATAAGCTCTTTATTGATAATAACCTACTAATACTTAAATGGATTCAACAAATGCAAGTAGGTAGTAAACTTAAACAGATTCATTTCCAAGTGAGAATTGTAGCTTACTTTATCAAAAAATATAACTATAATTAACTGAGGCAGCCTCATGAGGCCATTTATATCCATTGACATGCTGGGTTACAGAAAAGGTAGTGCATACACTGCTGAGCCTACAGCGTCAATCTCTTTGCTCCAGAACCACTGCATTAAACTGTAGTGGCTCTGGTGCCTAGAGCGCCCCTGTAAAAACTGGTCTTTGGGAATATATTGTGGGGTGGGATAGCTATGTAGTGTGTAGGTTATACAATGTGTATAAGGAACATAGTGTGAAGTGGGATAAGAATGTAGTGTGTATTTGTGTAGGTTATGTAGTGTGTGTAGGGAATATAGTGAGGTGTGGGAAAGGGATGTACTGTGTATGTGTGTAGGTTATGTAGTGTGTGTAGGGAACACAGTATGGTGTGGGATAGGAATATAGTGTTTAGGTAATGAAGTGTGTGTATGGAACATGGTGTCATGCGGGATATGGATTTAGGAAACACACTATAGTGTGGGATAGGGATGTAGTGTGTATGTTTGTAGGTTATGTAGAGAGTGTAAGGTGGATATGACAGAGTGAGTGAGGGAGTGACAGAGTGAGGAAGGGGATGACAGTGAGGCAGGTTGTGACAGAGTGAGGGAGGGGATGACAGAGTGAGGGAGGGGTGACAGAGTGTGGGAGGGATGACAGAGTGAGGGAGTGGATGACAGAGTGAGGGAGTGGATGACGGAGTGAATGAGGGAATGATAGAGTTAGGGAGGGGATCTTCTCCTTATTTCCTACCTTTGCTGCTCCTTCACCTAGCTGGCTGTGAGAGGGCTCTGTGTGTAAGGAGAGTGCAGGCACCTCCTTGCCCCGCCTCTCCTAATCACACAGAGTGCCGCATGGGACAGGAAGAAGGAGACCTGGCAGAGAGCAGGTAATGCTGCCAGGTCTCATTTTGAGAGAGGGAAGAGGGGGTAAGGTGCAGAGTAATAGGTTGCTGGGGCCCTGAGCTCCATCAAGTGCCACACAACCTATTGATGGAAGAGAGTTTTAAGAAATTTGCCGTTCCAGTTGGAGAGATCTCTAATCTCTCCAGCTGAAGCATGGCTGTGCGGCCGGGCCCTTGGCTGTCTTGGGCCCTCGGTCAATGACCAATGTGCCCAAGTGGTGTGAGGAGGGGTGACACTGTAGAGGGGGTAGTGTGTGGAGAGGGGGCTTTGTGGAGGGGGACAGTGTGCCTTATTTTCCCCAGCAGTAATTTCCCTGGTGGTCCGGTGGCATAGCTATCTTGTCTTTAGCTGCGCCGGGTGCAGAGCTGCAGACCACGTGATAGGTGTCTCGCGTGCTTTGGAAGTGTCAGAGCGTTGCCATGGTAACCCACGGCAACGCCCTGATTGGGATCGCAAGACACTAACTTCAGTCTACAGCTCTGCACCACTGGCAGAGCTGCAGACTGGAGGCGTGGTGCTCATTCCACATAGGCAGAGTTAGCGGAGGGCACATGCACCTGGCGGCATAGAGGGCTGGTGTTGGGCTCTTCAGTCATTCTGCCCTATGGTGAGGTTCTGCCCAAGTACAAAAATCCAGGGGGTCAAGCCCCCCTTTGCCCCTCTCTGAGGAAGCCCATGGATGCTACAGCTGGATATATGGTCACTGAGTTATCTTTATGTTTTATATAAATCATACTGATTGCTTGGTTTGGAGAGTTGTGTTTATTAGTTGGTACAGATGTGTAACAAATATCTCCCTGTAAAGAAACAAAAAGCAATGTTTAATCTTCCTTTATTGCATACTCTGTTTAATTTAGAAGTTTTTTTTTTTTTTTTTTATCTCCTGCTCTGTGAATAGTCTTCTAGACCATGAGGGAGCAAAAAAAATAACTCTGGCTCTGCAGAGAAGATAATCACAAAATAATATGTGTTCTATTAATATTACAGGATAGAAATACACAGTTCCATTTCATTAGACATTTGCCAAGGCTGACCTACAGGGAATGTTTAAAGAGGCACATTTACATCTTTGCGTCTTGTGGGTATTTGTTTGTCATCCACGCAGACTTTCTTGGACTTTACATGTGATTTTCATATGCAAGAAATTTACTTATGCAATATTACTTCTGATTTAGATCCAGTCACAGTGTCATGTCTCCATTTTAGAGTTTAGTTTTAGTAACAAAGACAGAATCCGCCTTGTAAGTAAAACATATAATGAAAGAAGTGACTGGCTGCAAAAGTATTTATTAAAAATATTCAAATGGACTTGACCAGGTCTGCATCAACAGACAGTCCAGGGCAGGTTTTCCTACAAACTTGGCTTAAAATTGAAATTACTGGTTCCCAACAAAGGACAGAAATAGCAGTATAATCCAGATGCCATGATACCTCCCCTCTCCTTCCTGCGATCACATGGAGTGCCCTCCTCACATCCTCTGGCTGCACTGGTAAAGTTTGTGACGCCTGAGGCTGTGTATCCATGTATATTTATTTATTTATTTTTCAACTTTGTCTTTTATTGAGTTTCAAAGTATACAATAAGGCACTTATAGAAGGACTTGATGATTGGACAGCTTTTATAAAAAATAGCTTTTGAGCAGGTAGTGATCATTAATAGGAGCCGAGACACACAACATGATTGTTGCATGTCTACCTGGAGGTCATTTATAGGTAGGAGCAGTTGGATGTAGGGAAGGACACAATGCAGGGCAAACGGAGCAGTTGCCCTGGGCCCAGTTACTTTTGGAGAGGGAATGGAGCAGCTGCCCTGTTTCTGTTTATCTGTATGTTGTCAGTATGTGCATCTGTGTGCAATGTGTGTAGTGTGTGTATGAATGCAGTGTGTGTGTGTATGAATGCCGTGTTTGTGTGTGTATGAATGCAGTGTGTGTGTGTGTATTAGTGCAGTGTTTGTATGAATACAGTGTGTGTATGAATACAGTGTGTGTATGAATGCAGTGTGTGTATGAATGCAGTGTGTGTGTGTGTATGAGTGCAGTGTGTGTATGTGATGCAGAGTGTGTTTGTGTATGTGATGCAGAGTGTGTAACCTTGGTGGGGGGTGGGCATTTTTATTATTTTTTTTAATTATTATTATTATTTATATATATAATTTTGTTTTTTTTATATTATTATTTTTATTTTTATATTATTACAAAAAAATTATTATAATATTATTTAAATGTTTATTTATATTTTTTTGTCCCCCCAACCTGTTTGATACATGGCCAGGGAGGGGGGCTATATTATTCCCTGGTGGTCTAGTGGCATGGGCTGTGTGGGAGGGGGGCTGGCAGCAAGCTGTTACTTACCTTTAAAGCAGTTCCTGTCAGTTCCCTTCTCCTCCACTGTAAGTCTCGCGGTCTGACTGCCTCGCGGAGCGTTGCCCCGGTAACCCGTGGCAACGCTCTGACGCTGCGGGTCTCGCGAGGCTTACAGTGGAGGAGAAGGGAGCTGACAGGAGCTGCAGGAAAGGTAAGTAACAGTGCAGGAAAGGTAAGTAACAGCTCGCTGCCAGCCCCCAACAGGACCGCCGGGCTTGTAATGAGCCTGGCGGTCCTGGTCTGTATTATGGCAATGTAAGTTGCCATAATACAGACATTGACTCGTGTATAAGACGAGTGGGGGGTTTTCAGCACAAAAAATGTGCTGAAAAACTCGTCTTATACTTGACTATATACAGTACGTCCAAATACTAGCAGGGTTATTCACTAAAAAGTCAAAGTGAGCATTCAAAGTGCATTTTAGATTTAAGGTCAAAACTGCGGAACCAGAAAAAATTCTTTAATTCGGGAATACTTTCAGTTCAACTACTTTGACCATAAATTTGAAATTCACTTTGAGTATCACTTTAGTGTATAACTTTGTATGTTCAATAATGCCAACTGGGGTTCACTGAGAAACAACAATTTGGCAAATTTGAATAAAATATCAAATCCAGTTAAGACAGAGATTTCTCCGAACTTTGCTTGTTTGGCTTAAAGTTTCTGTCTGTACTTAAAGGGACACTATAGTCATCCAGACCACTTCGGCTCAATGAAGTGGTCTGGGTGCCAGGTCCCTCAGGTTTTAACCCTTCACATGTAAACATAGCAGTTTCAGAGAAACTTCTATGTTTACATAGCAGGGTTAATCCAACTTCTAGTGGCTGTCTTCCTGACAGTCGCTGGAGGCACTTCTTCGACGCTGGATGCGAAACTCGCATCCAGCGTGCAGAACGTCCATAGGAAAGCATTGAGAAATGTTTTCCTATGGACTGTTAGAATGCGCACGCGGCACTTGCCGTGCATGCGCATTCTGTTCCACTCGGGAGCTGACGTCGGTGGGGGAGGAGAGGTCACCACCTTAAAGGTAAGTCGCTGAATGGGTTTTAACCCCTTCAGCGCCACGGGAGGGGGACCCTGAGGGTGAGGGTCCCCCAAGGATGACATAGTGTCAGGAAACCGGGTTTGTTTTCCTGACACTATAGTGATCCTTTAAATCTCTGCAAATCACTGTTTAGTAAATGGACCCCTTTGTTTTCCTGAATAATACTGAATTGAAAAACGAATGCAATCATCCGTTGAGATAATCTGGTGCAACATATCCAAAAGATAATGACAACCTAGTATTGCTTACTGGAGATTTTAATCATGGTCTGAGAATTGCTAGCTCTAAATAGACATTTAATTCCTTTCCTTTCACTAGACACTTTAAAGAGCGGCAAAGTTTTGGATTCCATTTGACATCGATGGGAAGTGACAAGGGTAGCTCTGTTTAATTTCAGTGTCCAGGAAGCAAAACCTCTCAGTAATTTCAGTTTTTCTTCCAGACATCACTTAAAAACTTACTTGAAAAGTATTAAAGGTGTCAGCACTAAGGACGTTACATGCCAGAAAGGATAAAATACTTTTTTTCATAGCCGAGAACCAGTTGTTTGGTCACCGTTCTCATCTGCTTCAACTATTCAGCTTGTCAAAACCTTTTTCCCAAGAATTTACTCTATTATTTATTTTTTTTTGCAGGTGAGTTAGATCATCACAATAAACAAAAGACATAAATGCATGCTTTCAGGAAGTATAAAACTCACATCACCGTCTTGAAAATACACCTATATTCTATTTTTATAGCATAGACTAGTGATTATGCGAAATAAAAAATCCTAGGCTATGGAGAATAACAGTGGATATAAAATAAACTGGTAGATATATGGCTATAAATGTAAACTTGTAAACTGCAAGGCATTTTATTGCCCCTAGCCAAGGGTGTAGCGGAGGGGAATAAATACTTATTGAAAACTAGGGAATATACAAGTACGTTACAGAGCCCTGCCTCCTTCTGGGGATAAATGGATTCCTAGTTGTTCCTGTGTTCCAAGCCAAGGGCTAATAAAAAAGGTAGAAGCTTCTATTGGGTTGGTAGACTTATACAGTTTCCCTTCTTTAGAGACTGTAATTAGTGACCTGGAAGCAGGTCCGGACGAGACAGAACACCTGTCTCCCAGTGATGGGTTGCATTGACTTCTGCCAAAGTAAAAAGTTAAAGAATTTGTTCTATTTTATTGTATATATAAAAAAAAAATTCTTCTCTTAAAAAAAAAAAAAAGAAGTAATTTTGTAAACATTGCTTTCATAAGGTAAAATATATACAGATGTGTGGAATGTGATGGAAACATTTACATTGGCTGATTCTTTGAGATCAGCCGCAGGCAGCGAATGACCACTTGAAAAATACAGTGTGTAAGTGGTTTATTTTAAAATTGCTGGCTTTTAAATGTCAACATTAAAATGACAAATGTCATCATATCAACAATATGTTATTGCAATGAACTAGTGCATCAGCTCTATAGTTCCCTTTATAATGATGGGCGTCATTAAAGCATAAGATAGATTGCTGTACCTGGCATTCTAATTGCTACTTTACCTTCCTGAGAAGGTACAGTACTCTTAAAGGGAGAACTCCCTAACCGTTAACCCACATTTACCCTGCATTCAGTAAACTCAAGTTCTCCAAACCGTAAACACTCATTAACCTTAATCCCCATAATCTTACTTTAACTCCCCCTAAAGCTAAGGGTACCGTAGCAGAATTGTTATTAAAAAGGACTAACTGCACTTTAATGCTTATAACTTATAGCAAAGAATAAAAATGCCACAATCCCATTGCATCACTACCTGCACAAAGCAGATTGGAGTTTACCTGCACGTGATCTTTACCCACTAAAAATATATATTTTAGGCATTAAAGGGCTGTTTTCCTGCCACTATAGCTCCCTATAGTGCCCCCTTCCTCGCACCCCATCCACCACGGTGCACAAGGGGTTTAAAACCCCTTCTGTCACTTACCTGACCTCTGCCAGCAGCCAATCGCCCTACTTTCCTATGGGGGTTTTGGGTGAAATTGGATAATAATTAGCTTTGAAGGGTTAAGAGACCCAGGACACTGCATGCAGACCATGTCAATGAGATACCATCACATTTTAATTTGTTTTGTTTTTTTAATTTAATTTTTTCTTCATTTTATATCAATTTCTTTTTTTTTTAAATAATATTTTTTGAGTAAATCTCCCTTTTATATTGAGTCAGATTCTGCTGTTTGTCAATCTAACTTGCTGCACATTCACTAAGGGCAATGAGCTATTCTCTGACCCTGAGCCAGCTCTGCCAGTGTCTTTATCTGCTCTCTCTCTCTCGCCTGCAGCTCCCTCTACTGGCAGAGTTCTGGTTATTAAAATGGATCTTTAGAATTTATGTTAGATTTATGGTTGTTCCCATTGTGATCCCATCTAACTCATTGGTAGGATAGCAGTGTCAGGGAAAAACAAAAACAAAAAACAACCCAAGCAAAGGGGTTTGGATGGAGGTTAAATTTCTGAGGGTGAGCAAGACAAAATTGTTGGTGGTATGCATACCTCCCAATGCCGGCGTCCTAAGAACTGAGGGGGAGGTAAAGGGGGCAGACCAGTAACGTGATCATGTCACTTGCTCTGCCCATTAAAGGGACAGGCCCACCTGGAAAGGGGGCAGATCTGCCCGAGTTAATAGCAGGTCATCGTGGTGTGAATATACACCAGTCTGCCAGTCTATCACTCAGGCCGGCTCACAGAGGGCAGGACACGCGGGGAGCTCTGTTTCAGTGCACACTTCAGGGTCCTAATGGCCGCAACATAGCACAAGTGTATCTTTGAAAGAACACGTGTTATGATTGCTGAGGACAGTTCTGTCACATATTCATCTTCACCTTGTGGTATCTGCGGTAGTAATTGCCTTCCTGACAAAAACAGAAGTGCCGCTCAGCAGCCCTGCGCCAGTATACCTGACTCCTGCAACATGTTGGTGGACGCCGGCTGCTGCGAATCCATGTCATTTCATAGCCCCATGTCCGCCCACGGTAATGTCGACGTCAATGTGCGTGTGACGTCATGCAAAAGATGCGCACACATGTTCTGGGGTCAATGGCCGGTAACAGCCAATCGGATCTGAAGGAGGCTTATTTAAACTCATTTTTACTTTTTCTCATTGCCCTGTCGTGAATTTCAGTTAGATGGTTATCCGAGAGTGTGTTTCTGGTTATTGACTTTGGCTTCGTTTTGACTTCCATGACTTCTGGTATCCTTGAATATTGGCTTCCCCTTATCGCTGTGTCCCATTCTGTGTCCCTGACTTCGGCTATTATATTGACTTTTCTTAGGTACGTTAAGTCCGGCCATTCTAAGGACCGGTTAGACGTTACCCTTAGTCCTAGGTGTGACACAATTCTGCATACTGGATCAACTGTAATCCTGGCACGTTCCCTGGTGTCCCCAAAACCGTGATAGTTGGGAACTATTGCGGGTCAGCAGAACATGACCTGAAAATAGGGACTGTCCTACCGACAGTCGGGAGAGTTGGGAGGTATGGTGTGGCATGCTTGCATCAGAAGATAATACACTCCTTATTGTTGGATAGCATGCCAGCTGTGCTGCTTTCCGGGTCAGCCAGAAAGAATTAAGTGTCTGGAATATTAAACATAACCTAGATAACCATGCATAATCTTCTGTACAACAGTACTAATGACCCTCTCCACCATCCATTTTGTTCCAAACAGTGTATCTCACCCAAACTCCACAGTGAGGAATGAGATGGCTATACGGAGTGTTGGTGGAGACATTGTGGAAAGTACAATGAAGGGCAGGCACAGTGTATCCTACCAATCCATCAGAGCCTTCTATCTATCCAACTTATTACCTGCACCTCCAACCCATCCTGCTCTCCATGCTATTCACATGTCACACATGCACCTTCCATCTTATTCCATACAGTTTATCCAACCACCCATCAACCATCTTACATAAGGCATATGAGAACATAATAGAAATATTTAAACATTATAGTGCATTTGGGATATTGGGGTGAAATATGAAATGATTAGGGGAAATTTGTACAGTTTTTGGCTTTGCCTCAACTTAAAGTTATTACTGCATCCGCCCATGCATTTTGGTAAATAATCT